ACGGAATGGGAAACACACAACTACCCGATGCAGCTGAGGAACGTCCTGGATTGGGCCTCCATCAGAATGTCTCTGGGCCTGGAGAGCCAATACCACCGACACCAGCACTACCTGAATGGGATGCTGCTGATCGAGACCCCTTCGACGACTTGAATGAGGAGGCCCTCGACTTCGCCATGACATCTGGAGAGGGGCCGCCACTGGTGGTCCCAGAGATGCTTCACAACATCCCAACCGACCAGACGACCAGAGCAAGAGAAGGGCGCGACAACGTGTTGAACTCTACATCCAAGCTCACTCGTGCTCGGAAGGAATTCGAGAATCTCGTGATCCGATCCCTTCAGGTTGGTCAACTTCCAACGAAGTCGAGTATAACAGAAGGGGTCCTGTTGGACAAGTCCAACGGCAAGACCCAGATGTTGAGTCAACGTATTGTGCATTTATCTGATGTTTTTTTGTGGAAGTATTGGTATGCAGTATTATATAGTTACGGGGGCCGCGACGAACAATTTGACAGATCTTTTCCTGGCCACTGGCGTGGTTTTCTGAAATATCGGAGGAGAGAAGGAGCTATACTAGTCCAGCTACGAGTAGGGTGGTCCCTGAGGAACTCCAAGACCCCGAACTTATGCGAGTTGCATGACATGACGAACGCTTTCATGTGTCCTCTTGCTGATGACCTCCCCATCCAGTCTGAGGATATGGTCCGTGAGGATTTGAGGGGTTATGCACACCAGCGCCTAATTAACAGTGTCGTCAAAATCCCGATCGACAACAAGTTTGAGGCTTTTATATGTAAGAATGGGGGGCTCCAGGGCTCCTGTGAGGCACCGAGGCAGTTTGTAGGCGTTTTCGACAAGTGCTACAACGAGATCCACGAGGCCAGCCGGGCCCCCATCTATATCTACAGCGCGTTTGGGACCCCCACTCTGGACTGCTCCATGGTAGGTTTCGCTGATCATTTATTTCGCCGCCGACTTTTAGAAGACTCTTCGGTTTCAGGGGCTCGGGGGGCGATTCGACTGGGAGACGAAAGCATGAATAACATCCTTGGGAAATGGCACTTCCGTCAGAATATGCAGAAGAAAGACATCATGCCATGTCTCGGATCGCACAAATCGAACAAGCGCTTCCAGGAGAGTTGCCCCAGTAGCTACGGCACGGTGCGCGCGAGCGCCAGACACTTAGGTGCACGCCACCACATGTGCGGCTCCAACGCCACTGAGCTGGAGTGTCGTATACGAGCTATACACGCAGGCTGGTCTGTCATTGGTTTATTCTGGCACGAACGAGGTTTGCGCAGATTGAAGCGTGAGCTGTTCCTGGGCAAAGTAGTGGAGAGTGGCATCACAGGTCTTGAGGCTTTTGCTTTGTCTCCTACTCAGTACCAGCAAATCGACTCTTGCATCGTCAAGTATTTACGAGTTCTGATGAGAGGTGCTGCCACTTTCCACGATGGCTCTCGCACTCACTCTCTGCGGAATTCAGAAGTGCTGTACAGATGGCGAGTTCTCCCTTTCCGTGGGGAGTTGGCGGTGCGTCGAGTCAAGTGGTTGCAGAGCATGCTTCTGCACCGACACGCACATTGTCAGACGGTAGCAGGTAATATTGACCACCTCGGTGACGACGCTCCCACTTTACAGGACTGTGGACAGCTCAGCGACGCAGCGAACCCGCGGGCCAAAACCTTCGACCAGAACCTCCAGCTCTTTCGAGGGATCAGTGGGGCCGAGAGTTTTTTCGAAGTCTGGGAAGATAGTGGTTTCTCGTGGAAGGCGCTCTTCGACCCCTCCTCCGAGTCCTCGCATGAGTTTCTGAAGATCGACCCCTCGATTCTTAGAGCCGCGGCCTTTACTGACTATGACAAATGGTGTTCTCTATTTCCTGAATTACATGGTCCTGAAACCAAGAGCGAAAACATCTTTACGTGTATGATTGAGAACTCGGAGAGCTCCCCCTGTGGTCTCCAATTTGACACCTATCGGGCACTCATGGGCCACCAGACTAACGGACATCGAGTACAGTATATCCTACATAGTGGAGTTACTACGAACCAATGCCCCAGCTGTCTTAGCATCTTTCGGGGCGCTGACAACGCACGCAAACATCTTAAACAATCATATGGATATGGTCGCTGTGCCATGGGTCGTGCTCACATGTCCTGGGAATCCAAGCAGTTGGATGAATGGAGATGCCCTATATGCCTCGAGCCCTCCGTAGTTTTTGAGTCGAATATCTTGCTGTTTCGGCATCTTCGCGAGTTGCACCTACCACATCCGCTACCAAGGCCATCATGCCGGTCTGTCTCGAGGCCCCCGAAGGATCTTCTCCGACTCAGGAGGAGGACAAAGGCAAAGGCAACGACAAGAGCAAGAAGCAGAAAACCGACGGCACGGGCAACGCGGCCGAGGTGTCCGCCGCGCTCAAGAAGAAGACCGACGACCCCACTCGCAAGCTCTTCTGCCTTCTTATGAAACAGCTACTCAAAGTCAGCCAACAGGGGCGAGATCTCGCAGGAGTGGTTCTGGACACGTTCATATTCCCAGCCGCGCGCATGCTGATCACCATGATGAGCGAGCAGACCGTCCTATACGCCGCGGCCGTCAAGAAAGCAGGCAAGGATCACGAGTTCGGCCCGCCCTTCATCTGGGCCATGGGAGGGTTGCTCAAGGGACTGGTGTTCCTGGGCGACGCGATTGGAGCACAGAACGCCCAGCAAGTCAACAAGTGCTTCAAAGAGTACGCCGAGTACTCAGTCGACACGAAGTGCGAGCTCGTGCTATTCTGCCGCCAGGACAAGGTCTACAACAAAGAACAGCGTCGCCTCACGATTTCATGCCGAGACCCAGCGTTTCGCAACATCCTAATCAGTTCGATGCTGCAGATCCAGGGTGTGAAGCGCAAATACGGCCGTGCTCCAGCAGCGTACATGGAGACAGAGATTCAACAATTCCTCGAGACGCTGCTGAAATAAAGGTGGACAAATCTACTTATGATGATCGATCTACCACAGCATTGGACGTTACAGCTACGAGTCCTGAGTGCGAACTTCTGGATGACGATCTACAGGCTCTTCATCTACCAGATGATACTCCACCCTGGACCCAGGCACAGTGCTTGAGTTTCTTGCGAGGGGAGGATAAGAAGGAGTCGTCTGCTACTGCTGCCGATGATCCCCCACCTCCTCGACCAGAACTGAAATCTTCTGAGGCCCCCGTTTTATATGTTTCTCCGCCTCCTCCTCCTCCTCCTCCTCCTCCCGCCCGACCTTCGGATGCCCATACGATCACGGAGTATTTAGCCTCGTGCGGGGTTTTCCCAGGGACCGCCAAATTCGAGACACTTTTCAAGAGTAGGCATATACTGAGCATAGTTAAATCACGAGCTACCTCTTAGTTGCCCTGGTCCCTCGTGGCTACCTCATGCGTCGGTGGCTGCATGGGGCCAGGCTGGTCTTTCTCGGGGCCTCAGCCGCGGCCCTAGGTGCATAGAGCATGGCATATGCACTCTCCTCTGAAAGCCAGAGGTTCACCGTGCCAGTAGCCATTCGCAGTTGTGCGAAATATCACGATTGGCGATTGCGCGATTTTGCAGAACAATAGCTTGAGTATGTAATCGTTCACTATGACAGAAACAATGTTGGCGCCGAAGGTGTGCGAATCGAATCCTCCTCCTCCTCCTCCTCCTCCTCCTCCTCCTCCCTGCGCCCGACTCTCTCCTCCTCCAGGCGCGCCCTGCGCATCCCTGGACATGTTCGCGGGCGGCGCGCCAGGGGGGAGGAGGAGGAGGAGGAGGAGTAGGAGGACGACGACATGCAGGAGGAGCAGCCGGAATAGGAAGAGGAGTTGGAGGGCGAGGAGGAAGAGGAGTTGGAGGGCGAGGAGGAGGAGGAGGAGGAGGAGGAGGAGGAGGAGGAGGAGGAGGAGGAGGAGGAGGAGGAGGAGGAGGAGGAGCAGGAGGAGGAGGAGGAGGAGGAGGAGGAGGAGGAGCAGGAGGAGGAGGAGGAGCAGGAGGAGGAGGAGGAGGAGGCGGAGGAGGAGGACGCGGAGAGGCTCGTGGGGCGATTTTTCTGCGGATGCTTGCGGACGCCCGTGCGCCGGGTGCGTCCACGGACATATGGTCCTTATAGCCTAGCGGCGCGCTGGGGGCCCGCGCAGGGCTATATTTTCGCGAGGACCTCTCGAGCGAGGGCGCCGGATTGGGACACGCCCGGCGCGCCATGGCGCGTCCGGCGCATCCCCGGAGATGGGCCCCAGGGGGGGCTGGGAGGCTATCTTCCCAGACACGATCGCGTCGTCAGCAAAAATCAGGACGGGAGGTTTTTGGCCGTTTTCGGCCTCGGGGGGCCCTCGCCGGGCCTCGGGACCGTCAAAAAACGATTCAGGACGAGAAAGCGGCCCCGGGGAACGGACGTCGGGACTTCCGGGGGCGCCGTCCTGCATGGGCTTCCTCGCGCGCCAGGGGTCGGGATGACGCGATCACGTCATCCTGATCCCCGGCGCGCGAATTTGAGGGAGTTTCTGTGGAACTCGAGTCCCGCAGAATCTCCTCCAAATGCGTAGTACGTATCACCACTGCTGCCCGCGAAGTTTCTTCGGGTGGAGGGCAAAGGGTGAAATCTGAAATGCCGTGTCGATGGATGTTCGAGGCTTGAATCTGCAAAAGGTGCATCACCAGACGGATTGACTTCCGAGGTGCAAAAACCCAGATGGATCTCACACTGAGCCCCCCACCCTACAAGAAAATGCTAGGCCACTAGGCTTAATACTGCTCAAAACAATCCCAGACATGCGACGCCCTGATTTTTTCAGGACGGCGTCCCCGGAAGTCCCGGCCCTTTCCCCGGGGCCGGTTTTTCGTCCCGAGCCGTTTTTTGTCGGTCCCGAGGGCCCAACGAGGGCCCCCCGGGGCCGAAAATAGCCAAAAACCTCCCGTCCTGATTTTTTTGACGACGCGATCGTGTCTGGGATTTGAACCCTCTTAGTTCTGCCCTCCGGCAGGAGCTCCTCGGCAGCCCGGCCGCCCCGGCGCGCCGCCCGGGCGCTGCCGCCGCTCTGGCGGCCCGTGGAGGGCCCGGGCGGGCCCGCGGCGGCGGCGAGCGCGCGGCGGGCGCCCGAGGACATGGTGGACTGGTTCCCGGCCAGCGCGCGCATCTGAGAGGGGCGGCCCCCGCCGCTCCTCCGGCGCCCCCCTCTGCCGGGAACGGCGCGCAGCATCGAAGAAGAACCGAAGAGACGCGAGCACGTAGACTTTTTTGGCGCTCCGCGCGGCTTTCTCGGATCCGCGCCGGGGGGCCCCCCGGCGGCGCCTCCGGCGCCGCCCCTGGGAGGGGGGCCCAGGCGCGGATCCAAGAAGTCCGCGCGGAGCGCCAACGGTTTATGTTTGAGTGTGTGTTTTGTTCCTTCTATGGCACGAACTCAGGAAGACAGTTATCGGGTTGGGAGGATGTGGTTGGGAGACATGGGGATATCGTGAACCGTAGGCGGCTGAAGGTATCGTTCATTGCAACAGGATGCTATTGCTCATGCCCTTAACCCCCCAACCCTTTCCTCCCAAAGCGATAGGTGTTCTCCTCATAACCATACACTTTGGGCGGTCCGCGCGGGTTTTCCGGATCGGCGCTGGAGCCCCCTGGCAGCTACTGCGGCGCCGCCCCTGGCGCGCTCCAGCACGCCAGGGAGGAGGCTCCAGCGCCGATCCAAGATATCCGAGCGGACCTCCGAAAGCTTATATGTTCACCACTGTTTTTTGTCCCTTGCTCACGCTCCGACCCCACGAGGGGCTGGAGCGGCGGCATGGATAAAGTTCTGGCCTCCATGACCACGTCTTTTTTTCCCATGCCCTGGCCCCTGGCGTCCAGGCCAGGGGGGCAGCAGCAAGGGTATGGATCGAAAGTCGATCACCGGTTCCAGCCCCACCCCTTCGGGTTCAGCCGACGCCCGGGTGTCAGACCACCCCCGCCTGGGTTCTCGGCTGGCGCGCGCATCTGAGAGAGGTGGCCCCCGCTGCTATTCCGGTGCCCTTGTCGGCGGTGCGCCCCCGGGGGGAGGCAGAGGGGGCCAACTTTATCGGAAGGCGGTGGCGCTTCTCAGAGGCCCTCCCGCGTCACAAGAAGCCTTCGGAGCCTCCTCTGAAGCCGCAGGTGGCCTCCCAGAAGGCATGAGCTGCAGACGCCCTTCGGGCCCTGCCCCCCCCAGCCGGTTTTTCAGAAATCTGGCCTGCAGGGGTCGGGCTCGCTGCCGCGCTCCCTGGGCAGCGCGTGCTCCGAGGACGCCAAAATGGCGGCCCCGGCACGCCTCCGACGTAGGTCGCAAAAGAGGAAAAAGAGCAGGAGGAGGAGGAGGAGGAGGAGGAGGAGGAGGAGGAGGAGGAGGAGGAGGAGGAGGAGGAGGAGGAGGAGGAGGAGGAGGAGGAGGAGGAGGAGAGGAGGAGGAGGAGGAGGGGAGGAGGAGGGGGGGCGGAGGAGGAGGAGGAGGAGGAGGAGGAGGAGGAGGAGGAGGAGGAGGAGGAGGAGGAGGAGGAGGAGGAGGAGGGAGGAGACGAAGGAGGAGGGAGGAGGAGGAGGGGGAGGAGGAGCAGGAGGAGGAGGAGGAGGAGGAGGAGGAGGAGGAGGAGGAGGAGGAGGAGGCGGAAGCGGAGGCGGAGGCGGAGGAGGTGGAGGAGGAGACGGAGGAGGAGGAGGAGGAGGGGGCGGAGGAGGAGGAGGAGGAGGGGGAGGGGTTCTTTCGGAGGTTCTCGTCGGCTTTGTCTCGGCCTGGGAGGCGTTCCAGCAGTTGCGCCTCGCCGATGGCTCCCCTGGGGTGTCCACACCGTCCCCAACGGCCGCCGGAGACCCGAGTAGTGATGACCCTTCGCCATACGCAAGAGTGACCCTTCGCCACACAGTCGACTCGCACAGGGAGGACGAGCAGCTTTCCAGGGCAACCCTTGCATAATTCTCTGCCCCTTTTGCCAACCCTTCGCGCCTTTCGCTGGCCAGCCTCGTTCGAAACACTTCGACATGGCGCCCCCGAGGCCCCTGCAACTTGCACCCTCACCGCGCATCCTCATCCCACGGGTTGACTGCAGTGGCCCGTGGCGCGCGCGCGCGGCTGTCGGGGGGGCCAGGGCCAGGCACGCCACGGGCACGCGGCACCCGCGAGGGTGGTCGGCAGGCCGCGCAGCACGCGCCACTCCTGCCCGGGCTCGCTCCGTGTGCCCGGGCCAGCCGGGCGCCATCGAGCGCGGCCCACTGCTCGCAAGAGTGCCTACTCGCAGACGTTCGAACAAAACAACGTGTGAGCGACGCAAGCAGGCGGGGCCTCAGGCGCCGACATGCGCGCGTGAGCTCCCCGCGTAAGGTCGCGCGTGGGCGCCCTCGTCTCCAATGTGGCGTGCCGCGCGGCCGCTATGCCATCGTCGTAAGCGCCTACTCGCACACGGCCGAAGAACATGTGTTTGCCTCGATGTAATATATTCCCCTTCCTATATTTTTATAAGCCCGGGCGGGGGGAAAACCCGTCCCCCCCCCCTAAAACCGGGTCCCCGGGATCTGGGGCTTTGGCACCCTCTGGACGGGCCTCGAAGCGGCCCTCCGGGCCTCGCAGGGCGTTTTGCCAAGCCTTCGCAGCATACCCAGGGCGATCAGGGGGGTCACCAGAGACGTCCCAGAGACCCCCAAGACAGCACAAGAGCTCTCCAAGAAGCCGTCATACCCCGAAAGATCGCTCCAAAACGTACCAAGAGGCCTCCAAGAGCACCCCCAAGAAGGCCCCAAGAGGGAAACATCATTGATTTGATGCAGGTGTTTTGTGCATTCGGGGTTCTCCTCTTTTCGGCTTCCCGACGCTCCAAGACGGCGGTCTCCTGGGCGTCCGAAGCCGCCTGGGAGGCTTCCAAATCGCCCCGCAACCATCCGAAAGGGCTTCCAGGCAATCCAAGAGAGCCCCAAAACGGCACAACACGGGTCCAAGATGGCCCTAAGAGAGCCCCATGGCGGCCCAAGATGGCCCCAAGACACCCTCCGAAGCATTCCAAATCGTGACTGGGGCGCTCAGGGAGACCGCGGTTAGAGGCAGGTTGGCCTTAGGAAGCCCCAGAGGCCCCCAGAACACGCCCAGGAGGCTTCCAGAAGGCTTTAAGAAAGCCCGAGGACTTTGGTGAGGCCCCGAGAGGCTCTCCAAGGAGGAGCCTCCGCAAAAAGAGCTGTGGAGGATGGGGAGAATGCCCAGGATATGGCGAGAATGAGGAACAACAAACATGGAGGAAGGATAACGAACAACATTATTATAACGGCGATGCCATAAAAGGCAGCAAGGAGTTGTCGCTAAATTGTCGGCTTGACCTTCCTGCCATTTCCGCCTGCATACCAAATTTCAAGGACCAAGGTGCATGGCGCGAAGCGCCACTGCAATCTTGTGTGTATATATATATGTATATATATATATATATATTGTCGATCCCCCGCGGCGGGTCCAGGCCATTCCGAGGGTAGCTACTTTGCGAGTGGTGGCATGCGCTTGTGTGGAGAGGAGGAGGAGGGGCGGGAGGGTGAAGGCGGGCGATGTGGGCGGTGGTGTCTTCGGCGCTTGCGCGACCGAGGGGCCGACTGCCGCTTCAGGCCGCACGGCCGCCCGCGATGCGGGCGGGCGGCCTCCGTGCGGGGAGGCGGCCCCTCCTCCGGACCGTTGCTGCTGCTCCTCCTGTCTCGTGTTCCGGTTGCTGCTTCTGCGGATGGTGCTGCTGCTCCTCCGCCTCCTCCTCCGGCACCCCCCCCTCCTTCTCCGCCGCCTCCTCCTCATTCTTCGGTACGCTCGTCTCCTCCTTCTCTTTCTCATCTCTCTCTCTCTCTCTGTTCGTCTTACTATGTGTGTTACGAGCCTGGGGGCAGGTAAATCGAGGGCGACAGCAAATGAGGAACGGGTAGGGGGACTTGAAAGGGAACGGCCATTTTCCAAAGGCCAAAGAGGATGACGCCATATTGAATATGCAAAGACCAAGGTGCGTGGCGCGAAGCGCCAACGCAGTCTTGTATGTATATGTATACATGTATGTATGTTTGTATGTATGCATGCATGTATGTATGTGTGTACGTATGTATGCACCCCTCTTACTAACGGACTATTGGCCCAACGGCGGGAGATGCCGATGAACGACACGCAATCCCGATCACAGACCTCTAAACGAATCCGCCGAGAACTGCGTGCGATCAGACGTGCATCACAGAGGGCAAACATTGATTATATTTTAACGCAGTACAGGAACTTGAAGCAAATCAGCGCGTGCAAGCAGTTCAAAGAGAAGGGCCGCATCGCCAGCATGAACGACAACAGTGGGAATGCGGTGCACAACAGACAAGCCCTTGCCGACGTATTTGCAGAGTTCTACAGCCAGCTCTATCGCGATGGCACGAAAGACAACCTCCCCCACTCAGACGACACAGTCCCCGACGACGAAACTGTCCCACCAATCACCGACAACGAACTACACGAAGCACTCCGACAGCTGAAGAATAACAAGGCACCCGACACCAGAGGCATCAGCGCCGAGATGATCAAAGAAGGAGGCGAGGCGCTACGATCAAGTCTCCTGGCTTTCTTCGACGCCATCCTAGCACCACGCACACCTACTCCCACGGCACGGTCACACACCGACATCAAAGTTCTGTTTTAAACGTGGAGACCCGAGGCTGCCGGAGAACTACAGGCCGATTGCCACCATCCCGCTGCTTTACAAGCTGTTCTCAAGGCTCATCTACAACAGACTACATAAATGTCTCGACTCCCACCAGAGCGTCGATCAAGCTGGCTTTCGATCTGGCCGGAGCGCCACCGATCACCTATTCACATTCTTTGTATTGCAAGAGACGGCCGACGAGTGGCAACTACCTTTATGGGTGGCGACGGTCGATTCCAAAAAGGCATTCGACAGCGTCACGCACGCGAGCATCTGGGCAGCACTTGCCGAACAAGGACTCCAACGATCATACATAAATTAGCTGGCAAAGCTGTACGCCAACCAAACAGCGTCGGTCCGCACTGACCGTACCAGCAAACACTTCAACAAGGTGACCCTCTCAGCTCTCTGCTCTTCAACAGTGTGACGGAACACGTGATGCACATATTTAAATCACGTTGGGAACATCAGAAGATCGGCATCCACTTGGATGACCGGACGCG